TAAAAGGTGATGAAAAGAAAACAGAACTTTTTAATTCCCAAACAGGAGCAATAAGAATTGTTAGAACTTTTGGACAAGTGTCATTTTTAAAATAACGTTTTATGATAAATTAATAGAATTTGTTCTTCAAAAACTGTATAATGGTGAATCTCTATGCATTAACCTAGAAAATATTGAGATAAAGCAAAAAATGTCATACTACCTTCTTAGATACTTAATACATTTATACAGCCACCTACAAAAAGTGACAAGTATCACTACAGAATGTCAAGGTTTTATTTTATATTCCTGCAGTAGAAATCACCTTGTTCTTTACACTGTGTTCCAGCATCAGTGCAGCCACAGAAGGAACACCTAGCTGGCCATCACAAAGTTTGAAACCTGGATCTGCTTTGTCCCATCCAGGTATAAACATAAGGGCTCTTCAGTCTTCATACCCAGCCCCACCCAGTACTGAGTTAGTTCTAACCAAGGTTAGGAGCCCAATGGAAGACCCATCATCCAGCGAGTTCTAAAGTTCATATCAACTCTACTCTCCTAAACACAAAAGTTTCCAGCCTTCTTTAAGTTTTTCTTTTGGTGGTACTTGGGGAATTGAACCCAGGGCCTTATACATGCTAGGCAAGTACTCTACCAACTGAGCTATGTTCCCAGCCCCAATTTTCAATCTTCTTATTCCTATTGTGAAGTTTCTGATTCTGTACTTCAATATTGACATTTACATGGAGCTTCCTCCAGAATTTGGCCTTCTTCCCTGCATGCCAGTTCTTACTTTTGTGCCTCAGCCTGATTCTTTGTTTCAGATACTTCACGTTGTCGTCAGTAAAAGTTCCCCTCTTGCCTCTGTCCTTGGGACATGCCTATTGCAGTTTTCCCCAAGCTATAACCCATTGGGAATTACACCCAAGGTATAATAACTGTTCCTGTAGTACCAGGCAGAAAGGAGTACTGAAGATTTCTATGCCAACCCAAACTTAGGCCCATCACTCCAGCCTCTGACCTATGACTAAACCTCCATCCTGGATTGCTAATTTGCTCTCCAATTCCCCCTTCTGTAGTTAAAAGTTCTGCTTAGCAGAAATAACAACAGTAATTGAACCCAGGGCCTTGTGCATGCTAGGCAAGCACTCTACCAACTGAGCTATGTTCCCAGTTAGGTAGTTATTACTGTCAGGGTTGAGTCAGGAAAAAAAAAAAAAGCTACTCTACATGTTACAAATAGAAGAATTTTAATGCAAGAACTTAAGAGACTTTCACACAGTTGGAAGAGGCAAGGGAGAGTGGGTTGGGGCAGCCATCACCAGACATCTTTCCTGAAATATTGAAGTGGTTCATTCTCTAGGACTCTTTGGAAAGCTCTGGGAATCTCTTGGCACACATTTCCAACTGCATCAGCTTCCAAAGGAAAGAACTTCCTTTTATTTCTTCACAAATCTTACTCAAGGATTTCTCTTGGAAACATCTAGATGGGGAAAGTAAGCCTGGGAAGGGCAGTTCCCAGGCTCTCCCGTGCCATGAGAGATCTTAAAAGGGAATGGTATGAGCTGATTTGAAAGTACACAGCCAATGCTCTACTGCAAAATGCCATTACTTAATCACCATGTCCTAGAACACCCCCTTCTAGTTGGAATCTTTCTAATGAATTACCCTTAAAAGAACCCGATACCCATAATTGAAAACAACCTCTTATCCTCAGCCTGGTTGGGGTAGAATTCCTAACTGGATACACCTGCCAGAAACAAAATGGTGCTTCACCCTGGCATAGTTATTCCTGAAGTTTTTTGGACCAAAGTTTTCTAGGACCAAGACATGTAAACAAAGACATGTATTAGCTACCTCTCACTGGCCACTAAGATTTGGACTGTGGAACCTTGTCTCAGAGACAACTCTATTTCCACACCAACTGACCTAGACCTAGGCTTCCCCCTTTCCCACTTCCTGCACTTTCCGACTAGCCCAAGCTCCCAGCATCCTACAAGGCAAACTCTACATGTTGTAATGCTACAAGATTCCCAGGAAGTCTATTCTGCCACGATTATTTGTTGCCAACCAGAACTTTCAACATAAGTACACTAAATTGTTTCCTAAGTCTGGACTCCCTGGCATAAATGTATTGTGAACAGTCAAGAAGAATTTTTTTTTAGTTTATTAGATAACAGGAGTAGCATGGCACAAAATATTTTAGTAGCTATTATTGCCTACAGAATAATATAAATCTTTCCACTTAAAACATTCAAAGCCAACCCCCAAAGATTCAAAACGATCTCTCTAATCTTATAGCACATATTTCCTTACCTATATCTTCTATCCTATCAAAATTAATCCAGTTACCATTTCTCTGAAAGAATCATATGGACCTAACAATATTCAAACTTGAATAAAGTTATTCTTTCCACTTAGAGTGCCCTTTACTCCTAAGTACCCCTTGAAAACTACAGCCTATTTCTCAAGACACAGCTCAAATGGTATATGAAAACTCTACTTCTCAGTAACCAACCCCATACTGTGCTTGTATCTGGCTATTTGTGAGAGTGTGTTATCTCTTCTATTGAACTGAAAATCATTGAGAGCAAAGACTATTTATCTTAATGATGTCCCTCACCCACGTAGTCACACACGCCTACAGTGACCTAACACATTAGAGGTGATCCATAGAAAACTTTCAAATAGAGTTTAAGAGTTGAAATAAGGTCAAGATAACTGTTATCTTATAAGCTGAACTGTTTCTAACCTTCCCAAATGAGGGGAAAAAAACATATTCTATACAATCATTTCTCATTATGTAAAACAGAGACTTCGGGTGGTTTACGTATAAAGAAATTTAATTTAGAAATCATCCAAGGAAAAATTCCCGGGGGTAAAAAACACTCTAGCCTCCAATTACCAATACATTTTAACTATTGTCCCATCCCAAGGTTAGAGATTTGTGAGGAGTCTATACAATTTATTGATTCTGAGCATTTATTCAATTATATTCCATTTGTATTAGTTATTTTCAGCCCATTAAAACACTTATTCAAACCTTTGGAATTTTCCCTACGCACTTTCCTAAATGTATTTCCTTCAATGTGTTAAATGAGTAACTGGAGATTTTGCTGAGTCCTTGCAGAAACACACTAAATGACTGAGACAAGAGCAAATATATCTCCTAAGTTACTCAAGTGCAGGAATATTAAGGCTCTAGAGAAAATAACAGCTCAGTAGTGCAGGAAGTGTCAAAAGACCCAAAGACATTGGGAAGTCTCGAGGCACAGACACTAAGTAGGACCCAGCAGGGAATCTTTATTTTATTTTATTTTACTTTATTTTTTACTGAAGAGGGGAAATTCAAATTGTAGATATAGATGTACTTCCTTCCTGGCTTACTGGGATGAGATGTATCTCCCTTGTGATGAGGACTGCTGCCATGCTCAATGGTCCAGGTTAATAAAATTAAAACCTGAAGAGAACTGTGTAGGAGTAGGGCCAAGATAGGTGAGCTGGACATCCAGGTTTCTAGTACATCTGAGGAAACTAGCTATCAGACAAAACCTAAGCTGGCAGGTGTCAAATATCATCCAAAGGCTTGGAAGCCAAACTTCAAGCGCAGAGGTGATGAATCTTGCAAAGATCCAGAGCAAGTCAAGCATTTGAAACACTGAAAAGTCAAAGCAGAGATGAAGAAGACAACAGGAAATTTGTGACCGAGGTAGACATAAACACAGAATTCTGAATTATCGGAGCAAGACATGAGCACTAATTATGGAGCAAGACACTGGCACTAAGAAGAACGCAAGACTGTCTGGTTTGTGAGCTAATCGCGATTTGGTTCTAAAAACTGATCCTTTCTGATTTCCTCTGTTTTACTAATTGTGAATTATTCTGAGTTGACAGGTATATGCAGAAAGTAATTAAACTAGCTGGAGCCCCCGAGTATTCTGAATACAGGTGAACAGCTGTTGGCAGCTGGAACTGGAGTAGAACTGGGCGTGGCAGGTTGTCTTTTGCAAAGATAGCTCCTGTCCCATGTTCTTGTCTGCAATGTGCCCTCCTCAAGAAGTGGCACTCATCACCCTACCCTGGGATTGGCTTTAGTAGTTTTCCTGACCCTTTAGAAAGTGGAAGAAGTGACACTGAGATTTCTGAGGCCAAATCATGAGAAATCTTTCAGTTTCCTCTTGGAAGAAGGAACATTGCATCGCTGCTGAGCTGCTCCTCTGAGACCTGCTGCCATTCTACAAGGGATCTTTACTACATGGAGAAGCCACAAGTTCACGTAGGAAGCCCAGGCTGAACTTCCAGGAAACAGCATCAACTGTAAGCCATGTGACATTCCAACTGCACTGGGCTTTCAACTGAAGGCAGCTAGAGCCTCTATTTTACCTCAACTACATGACAGACCCCAAACCAAGCTCCATTAGCCCACAGAAGTGTGAGATACAATAACAAATTGCTGTTTTAAGCTATATTTCAGGATCACTTTTTATATAGTAAATAATAATCAGTACCTGGGACTATAAGTATGATTTTTGAAAATTACCTTTATCCAAGGCTACTACTACTGGGGCCATGATAGACAGTTGTTACTTTCAACAGACCCCAAAATGTATTCAGTTCCCTCCAACACTTCACCTTTTTTTTGATACTCTAAGAAAAATTTCTGAAGGATGAATTTGATTATTAAAAAGCGAATTGGGGTTACTTGGCGATTTTTATTTGCACTGTCTCTAGAATGCCTTGTTTTGCACATAACTGAGATTAAGCCAAAGCCTAAAACCACTGAAAATGTTGAAAAGTCTGTATTTAAAGGCCAGGGTGGAGAAGAAGCACTGGAGAAAAGTGAGCAATTACTGAATACCTTACAAAATGCACACTCTGGTGATCGTTGGCATTTTCAGGGAGAAATCTTCCAGAGAGATAGATGATACCTTTCTCAAACAATTAATACCAGAGACTGTGCTGCTTGTTATGCTGTTGTGTTTCCTTTTGAAATATGATACATGCCAGGCTATTTCACTTACCTCCCATCTCTCATTTTCTCAGTCCTATTAATGCAAGAACATAATGCAGAACATAAAATGATTCTCAGTTTACAGTTGATTCTTCAACATCAAAGGTTTATGGTATTATGGCACAGTCTAGTAGAGCTTTAAATATTGGTTTGAGCTAAATGGAAAGAGAAAAAAGTACGTATTAAAGATTGTCTTTCATGCTGTATATAAATTATCTAATTTAATCCCAAAGCAACTCCATAAGGTATTATTATCCTTATTTTATAGAAAATAAAACTTTAGAATCAGACTACTTTCACTGTAATATGTTTCTATGAAAATGGGTCTTCTAACCAATGGTACAGAATAGAAGACACAGAGACAAACACATATAAATTCAGTTATCACATACTAGTTGAAGGCGCCATAAACATGTATTGGAGAAAAGACAGCCTCTTCAACAAATGGTGCTAGGAAAACTGGAAATCCACATGTAATAAAATGAAATTAAACCCCTATCTCTCACCATACACAAAACTGAACTCTAAGTGGATCAAGGACCTAGGCATTAGACCACAGACCCTGTGCCTACTAGAAGAAAAGTAGGCCAAAATCTCCATCATGTCAGTGTAGGAACTAAATTTCTCAACAAGACTCCTAAAGCCACAATAAGTAAAATCAAGAATTAATAAATGAAATTGTGTCAAACTACAAAACTTCTTCACAGCAAAGAAAACAATCAAGAACATGAAGAGAGAGCCTACAGAATGGAGAAAATCTTTGCCACCTGCACCTCAGATAGAGCATTAATCTCCAGGATATATAAAGAAATCAAAAACGTAACCCCCAAAAAACAAACAACACAATCAATAAATGGGCAAAGAAACTGAACAGACACTTCTCATAAGAAGAAATACAAATTTCTTCAACAAATATATGAAAAAAATGTTCAACATCACTAGCAATTGGAGAAATGCAAATTAAAACTACACTGAGATTTCATCTCACTCCAGTCAGAACGGCAATTATTACCAAGAATACAAGCAACAATAAATGTTGGCAAATATGTCAGGGGGGAAAGTATACTCGTACATTGCTGGTGGGACGACAAGTTGGTGAAACTATTCTGGAAAGCAGTATGGAGTTTCCTCAGAAAACTTGGAATGAAACCACTATTTGACTCAGTTATCCCACTTCTGAGCATATACCCAAAGGACTTAAAAATCAGCACACTATAGTGAAAGGGTCCCATCAATGTCCATAGCAGCTCAATTCACAATAACAAAACTATGGAACCAACTTACGTTCCCTTCAACAGATGAATGGATAAAGAAAATGTGGTACATATACACAATGAAATATTACCCAGCCACAAAGAAGAATGAAATTATGGCATTTGCTGGCAAATGGATGGAACGGGAGGCTATCATGCCAAGTGAAATAAGTCAATCCCAAAAAATCCTAAGGCTGAATGTTCTCTCTGATATGTGGGTGCTGACTCACAATCGGCTCGGGAGAGGGAGAACTGTAGGTTCACTGGATGGATTGGAAAGGGGAAATGGAGGGAAGGAAGGAAAGATGGGAATGGGAAAGGCCGTAGAATGAATCAGACATAACTTTCTTATATGAGTACACATGACTAGTGTAACCCCACACCATGTACAACCACAAGACTGGTAAGTTGTACTCCATGTATATATGATATGTCAAAATACATTCTACTGTCATGTATATCTGAAAAGAACAAACTTTTTTAAAAAAAAAGAACCAGAGGGGCATTGAACTTCTCAATAGCAATGCTCTGAGCCATGAAGCCAAACTTTCCAAAGTCTAGGGCAAAATGGTTTCCGCCAGCATTCTTACACCCAACTACCAGTTAAGTGTAATGGTAGAATAAAGAGGTTGTTAGACAAAAAATAATAATAAAATGAAATGGGCTGGGGCTGGGGCTCAGCGGTAGCACACCTGTCTGTCATGTGTGAGGCACTGGGTTCGATTCTCAGCACCATATACAAATAAATAAAGGTCTATCAACAACCAAAAAAGTATTTTTTAAAATGGGCCTTCTAAAATAGAGTTCATCTGTGTTTTATATATATAGCAGCTTGTGATTTAGTTTTCAAAAGAAATGTACTTTTCTCAAATGACCCAGATTTATTTTCTTTAGCTCATAGTTGCACCTACCTGATAAACATTCAGCCCTAGAGGTGACACAGGCAGCCGTTCAGTGGCAGTAGTAACAGCAGCATGCACTAAAACAGAATGAAAGGAGAAATGAGCACAACAGGTCATTTCAGAGGGTACATGCCCCAGAATTTTTTGACAATGTTTACTCCTTGCTCTCAAAAGAACACTTTTTGCCAGTCAGTATATTCCAAGTTTAGTTTGGAAAGCATGGGCCTCTTCTATATAGGGAGAAAACGTAGCCCCATATTAACAATTCCAACTGAAAGGGGCTATTTTGTGATATCAATTAAAGCATGCATGCTGTCTGTATAGATTTTTGTTGCATATGAGCTTTTGTTATGGATGCACAGATCCCAGTCAATTTTGATTCATATTCCGCATGCAACACAGAATAAAAATACAAATGGTCTGTAATGAGACTTGAAACTTCTTCATATTAAAAATCTTTGTGGTGGTGACCATCTCTCCACCAAGGAACCTCAGCTCTAGGCTGATACTTCTCTCTGTAGTGTGTTACTTTCCTGGTTCTCAGATGACCAGTGGGATTAAATTAAGAAGTCAGTTTAATTCTGAAGCATGGCAATCTTATGGGAACACTGAGAGGTAAATGAAAATTATTTTGCAGTCTCTTAAATAATGAAAACATAAGAGCATTTGCTGGCACCACATAAAAATGTAACAATGGAATGCAGCGTCAGAGAGAGCACACAGACCGTGCCAAAGATTAGCCATGACAATGCACAAATTAACTTTAGCAGTAATCCTGGAGGAATATATTCATTGGGGGTAACATTAATCTTGGCATAGGCAGACAGGAGAAGAAAAACACAGCAAAGATCAAAAGAGATCCGGGCGCGGTAGAGCACACTTATAATCCCAGCAGCGTGGGCAGCTGAGGCAGGAGGATCACAAGTTCAAAGCCAGCCTCAGCAAAAGCAAGGCACTAAGCAACTCAGTGAGACCCTGTCTTTAAATAAAAAGCAAAATAGGGCTGAAGATGTGGCTCAGTGGTCGAGTACCCCTGAGCTCAATCACTGGCACCAAAAAAAAAAAAAAAAAAAAGATTAAAAGAGAATCTCTAGCAAATAGATTTAATTTCTAAAATGTAAGATAAAATGAAGAAGCATAATATTAACCCCCCTCTTTTAATGTAAATAAAAGTGTAAAGAAATTAAAACTGATAGTCAATCCACAGAGACAAATAAAAGCAAGTAAAACACAGTAGATTATTTGATATTGACAAATAAATGTAAAAAATTAAGTAGTTTGAAAAATCAAGAAAAAAATATTTAGAAAACACACTCCATCAAAGAAAAACTATCAGACATATCAACGTGGCAGTTTCAGCTGCTATGGACCATCCGCCCATTCCAAACTATCGTAATTCCAGACACGAATGCAAAGAATTGTCTCTGCCTGACACTCTGACAAGCCAGGGAGGTATTGGACCTAAATATTAGCTCTCGAGGCTGAGAGCTTGGATTTTAATGTCTTGGCCCAAATAAGAATCAGGGTGTTGGGAGTGAAGGCAAAAGAAAGATGCCCTCAGAGAACAAGAACCTACTCTTAGGTAGGGGAGGTCTGACTGGAAACTAGACTGTGTCCCCATGGGAGACAAGGAAACTTGCCTTCCAAAAGACATTTTGAAACAGACTCACCCCACAAGCAAGGGTGTGTCAAATTTTATACTTCCTTCCTGGGGTGGAGATTTCAAGCCCAGAAATGAACTTAAGAAAATGAGCTGGGAACTCATAAAGTATCCAAAGCACTGACAGGAATCAATGACACCACTTTGAAAGGATGCTTACAACTCAGGGGCTACTCAGACACATAATACAGTAGCAATAATGGTGGGAAATAGCAAAGCATTCAGGGCATGAACCATCTTGAGGAAGAGACTGAAGACCAAGAAAGAGGAAAATCTACAATCTAAAGTTTTGATGAAAAAATTCTCAATAAAATTCTGTGGGTTTTTTGTTATTTTGTTATTATTGTTTTTGAGGATACTGGGTATCAAACCCAGTTCCCCATGTATGCAAGGGAAGAACTCCAGCACTAATTTGCATCCTAGCCCTAAAATAAAACTATTTGAGCTTGTAATCTAAATGTATTTAAAACTATTAAACACATTTATTAATTCTATAAGTTTTGTGGTGGAGTTTTTTGGAACCTCTAAGTATAGAATCATGTCATCAGCAAATAAGGATAGTTTGAGTTCTTCTTTTCCTATTTGTATCCCTTTAATTTCTTTTGTCTGGCTAGCGTTTCAAGGACTATGTTAAGTAGAAGTGGTGAAAGAGGGAATCCCTATCTTGTTGCAGTTTTTAGAGGGAATGCTTCCAATTTTTCTCCATTTACAATGATGTTGGCCTTGGGTTTAGCATAGATACCTTTTAAATGTTGAGGTATGTTCCTACTATCCCTAGTTTTTCTAGTGTTTCAAACATGAGAGGGTGCTGTCTTTTGTCAAATGCTTTCTTTGCATCAATTGATATAATCATATGATTTTTCTCTTTAAGTTATTGATGTGATGAATTATGTTTATTGATTTCCATATGTTGAACCAACCTTGCATCTTTGGGATGAACCCCACTTGATCATGGTGCACTATTTTTATGTTTTTGTATGCAATTTTCCAGAATTTTATTGAGAATTTTTTCATCAAAGTTCATCAGGGATGTTGGTCTGAAATTTTCTTTCCTTGGTGTGTCTCTGCATGGTTTTGATATCAGGATAATACTAGCTTTATAGAATGAGTTTGGAAGGGTTCCTTCCTTTTCTATTTCATGGAATAATTTGAGAAGTATTGGTATTAACATCCGTGATGAATCCTCTGAAAGAGAAATTAGGAAAACTACTCCATTCACAATAACCTCAAAAAATAAAATAAAATATGTGGCAAACTTAACAAAAGAGGTGAAAGACCTCTACAATGAAAACTACAGAACACTAAAGAAAGAAATTAAAGACCTTAGAAGATGGAAAGATCTCCCATGCTCTTGAATAGAGAAATTAATATTGTCAAAATGGCCATACTACCCAAAGTGCTGTACAGATTCAATGTGATTCCAATTAAAAATCCCAATGTCAATCCTTATAGAAGTATAAAAAGAAATCATGAAATTCATTTGGAAAAATAAGAGACTCAGAATAGCCAAAACAATTCTTAGCAAGAAGAGTAAAGCTGGAGGCATTACAATACCAGAACTTAAACTATACTACACAGCTATAATAATAAAAATGGCATGGTATTGGAACCAAAATAGACATGTACAGAATAGAAGACACAGACAAACCCACATAAATACAGTTATCTCATACTAGACAAAAGTGCCAAAAACATATGTTGAAGAAAAGATAGCCTCTTCAACAAACAGTGCTGGGAGAATTGGGAATCCATGAGCAGCAAAATGAAACTAAACCCCTATTTCTCACCATGCACAAAACTCAAATCAAAATGGATCAAGGACATAGGAATTAGACCAGAGACCCTGTACCTAATAGAAGACAAAGTAGGCCCAAATCTTCATCACTTTGGATTAGGCACCAACTTCCTTAACAAGACTCCTAAAGTGCAAGAAATAAAATCAAGAATTAATAAATGGGATGGACTCAAACTAAAAAGATTCCTTTCAGCAAAAAAAAAAAAAAAAAAATGATCAATGAGAAGAGAACGCCTACATTTTGGGAGCAAAGTTTTGCTACACGCACGTGTCAGAGCACTAATCTCTAGGATATATAAAGAACTCAAAAAACTTAACATACACACACACAAAAAAAAAAAAAAACCAAAACCAACCCAATCAATAAATGGACAAAGGAGCTGAACAGTCACTTCTCAGAGGAAGATATATATTCAATCAACAAATATATAAAAAAATGTTCAACATCTCTAGCAATTAGAGAAATGCAAATCAAGACTACTCTAAGATTTTATCTCATGCCAGTCAGAATGACATTTATCAAGAATACAAACAACAATAAGTGTTGACAAAGTAAGGGGGAAAAGGCACACCCATACATTGCTGGTGGGACTGCAAATTGGTGCACCCAATCTATCTGGAAAGCAGTATGGAGATTCCTTAAAAATCTTGGAATGGAACCACCATTTGATCCAGCTATCCCACTACTCAGTTTATACCCAAAGGACTTATAGTAACATAGACACATCAAAGTTTATAGCAGCTCAATTCACAAGAGCTAAACTGTGGAACCAACCTAGATGCCCTTCAATAGATGAATGGATAAAGAAACTGTGGTATATATATACAATGGAATATTACTCAGCATCAAAAGAGAATAAAATTATGGTATTTGCAAGTAAATGGATGGTGTTGGAGAATATCATGCTAAGTGAAGTAAGCCAATCCCAAAAAACCAAAGGTCAAATGTTTTCTATGAAAAGTGGATGCTGATCCATAATGGGGGGGGGGGGGGACGGGCGGGCATGGGAAAAATGGAGGAACTTTGAGCAAAGGGGAAGGAGGGGTGAGGAGGGGACACGAGGGCAGGAAAGATGGTGGAATGAGATGGACATCATTACCTAAGTTACATATATGACTGCACAGATGGTTGTACATTGTGTACAACCAAAGAAATGAAAAGTTGTGCTGCAATTGGGTACAATGGATCAAATTGCATTCTGTTGTCATATATACCTAATTAAAATAAATTAATCAATTAATAATAAAAACCATTAAAGATATTTCAAATAGAATCAATAATAAATATGTTAATATTTCTTGATTTCCAAGCTGTCCTAGACACTCCTTTGGTAATTTTGAAATATACTCTATTTTTATTTGAAAATGGGTATAGGAAGAAATTATAGACTACAAAGGGCACCAAGGACTTATTAGGGGTAATGGAAATATCCTATAACTGGATTGTATGGGGTTACAAAACTGTATTTTTATCAGAACCCATTAAACTAAATACCTGAAAAGGTAAATTTTACTGTATGTAAAATATACTTCAATGCCTCATGCTAAAAAAGAAAAAAAATGTTTCAATCTCTCTTATTTTGGTTTTTCCACTAATGTAAAAATGAACATTTTCCCATGGA